TTACAAAAAAATTCAGGGGCAGGGGTTTCGGTTTCGTGTAGAGGTTCGGGTTTAGGTGTAGGCTTTCGGGTCTAGGGTTTTGGCCTCCGGGGTTTGAGATTGGGGCTTAATTGCATGCTCATAAAATGTCTGCAGAGCTGGCATTTGCTTGCTTCCGGGTGGTTTCAAGCTCGAGATTCTAAATTTAGATTGGGTCAGCCATGACACAGCAGTCTTCTTTCCGCGCGAGCTGACACGTCTTGTGACGATCTGACGTCTTTTGCTCCTGCCACACAGAGGGGCGTGGATGTAGGGCTGTTGCTTCGAGGGTTTCAAGCGTCAGGGATTGGGCTGCAGGTTTGGTGATTCAAGGCCCTTGCAGCAAAGGCGGTTTTTGCAGTCTTGCGATTTAGTGGCTTTCGGAGCTTCTCGATTCTCGGTAGTGAAGACCAGATCCTTGGCCGGTTACTCAGACCAAAGTTTGCGGGCGACAGCACCACGACAACAAAAACCCTAAACCCCCAAACCCCAAACCCTAAGAGATCGAGTTAAGTGTAGTGGGCATATGCTGCGTGCAAAGGTTTAAGGCTCGGGTTGGGGGCTGATGGGGATTTAGAATAACTCTATTTCCTGAGTCTATAGCTGCAAACTTAAAATAACTTTATTTCCTGATTCTATAGCGTCAAACTTAAGCCTTGCGTCCGAATCCATCCTTTAAGCCCGAATCTGCAACCCTAACCCTGCCCCGACCTGAAGTCCTACAAAGGCTTTGAATGCCTGAACCTCAAAACTTCAACCGGTGATCCGCAGTGTCCGGGTTTAGGGTTTAGGGCTTCAGTTTTGGGCCTGATGGGGTTTAAGCGCCGTAAGTCCAAGTCCTTGAAGCCCAAATTTGAAACACTGAAACATTAAACCCCACGAGCTGAACCTACCCGGGCCCTCAAAACCAGAATCCTAAGGCTCCTATACCATGTGAAACCCTTCATCCCAAAAGCAGAGGCCTAAACACTCCAAACCTGAACCGAAATATGAAAACGAACTGGGATCCTAAACTTGAGCTCCGAAACCCGCAACCCAGACCCAAATTTCAAAAAACCGTCAGCTTGGCATAAAAAAGCAACTAGTAAACCTTGCACCCGAAATCCCGGCATATGTCCTGAAGCCCGGAAGCCCAACAGCCCGAAGTTGAAATTGAAAACCCACCGCAAAAACAAACAACAAAACAACGAAATCTTTAACCCTGAACCCCTAACCCGACGCGGAACTTGAAGCGACCTGCTGGCGTTGCAGTTGCATCACCAGTGGAACATGCTTGCTGCGGTGCCGGAGTTTCAGTATAGAGGTCTCAGTTGCGAACATGGGCACGCACAGGCTGGAGGACGAAAATACAACGAAGCCCGAAGCCGTGCCTCAACCCGGCGCCGCTTTGTAGAAAGAGCTGGATTCTGCACGCGGTCGGGCGTGGTTCATTAATAGTTCTTTTAAAAAGGTCGCTCGTATATAAGGCTCACTCAGAATCCACATACCGACATCGAACATCCCGAATGAACCTCGCACGCCCTGCCTGGACTCGGCTGGGTTTCGGCAGTGGCTACTGCACGCAGCCGGTTTTTTGCCAGGGTGGTTTGTTTGCGGTACGGGCCTGTCGGATGAGCCGCCCCCGGATCAAAGCGTTCCGGGCGTTCAGCTCCTGGGCTGCGGGCGGGGGGTGGGTTTCGATCTTAGCGGTCCGGTCTTCGACGGAGCAATTAAAAATGCGGTTTTTGTTGATTTTGGCTACAGTCAAGAGGCGACCAGCCTGGCTCGCATCATTCTGGGATCCGGCGGCCGCGGCGCGCGGATGAAGGAATGCTAAATGAACTGATTTTCCACCACAGCACAGACTTCACCCTCCGGCAACGCTCGCTCATCTTCCATGGCACCCTACACCTGGTGAAAAATGCAAAACTATTGCACAAGCACCGGCTGAGCCTGAATATGACAGTTAGTGAAGCCCAATATGACAGTTGCCGAGCAAGCATTCCCATGGACAGAAAACACATCAGTTAAGGCACTTTCCGCTACTGTAAAAAATGTAGACCCCAAACCCATCACTTAGAAGGCCCTGGTACATATATATCATGATTAGACACGCATATCATCCGGTCCATTCTAGACTTTCTCATGATCCGATATAAGAATAGAGTCCACACAGAAACAGCTCTATGGACCTATCCACACCGGGGAAGATGTGCTACCTTGAACTTTGAGCGTGTGAGATGTGACTTTGTTGTATTAAGTTGCAATGGTTTTTAAAAGGTGGTTGCATTGTTCTTCATCATGTTTGCATCTTTGGTTTTCTCTGTGGCAAAATCAGTTCAGTGATTTCGGTGCCCACTCTTGAACTTTCACACCACGAGCCAAGAAAAGCAACGTTTAAACTTATAACTTCTTTCATGGCTCCTAAACCCCGCAAGTCTCCAACATTGCAAAACTTCGAATCGAAACTCCAAACCTGAAGCCTTGCTTTCAAGTTTGTTTTTGTTGTTTCAATCTTACCGACCAAAAAATGAGTCCGAGAGCTCGAGCAGCTCGTCTAGTGACTCTTCGTTTTCGTTTTCGAGCTAGCAGCTCACGGGTTGAGAATCAGAATTGTCGCATAAACGCGGTGACCATGCGCCTTAGCAACAGGCTGATTGCAAGATTTTCATGACCACTGATGGGTGTTCTGCTGATTTGGAAACAAGCTGGTCTGCACCACTTTGTTTGTGGTGGTGACTTTGTCATCTTGTGAGCCTAGTTGCGCTTCTGGCGGGCTCGTTTTCGTAAGTGGCGGCAGGAAATTGAGAGGGAGCTTCGGGGACCTCCGGGGAGCTCCGGGGAGCTTCGCGGAGTCTGCGGGGAGCTCGGGGGCTTCGGGGAGTTTTTGGGAGCCGGACCCCGCGAGGTGAATCGGAGCCTTAGCCGAGTGGGTTCGATTCAGCGGCTTTGTCTCTTGAAGATGACACACAATTTGGGGTGGTGGTTTTCGGGGGCCCGTTTGGGTCAAAGCCGGGAACCTTCGGATACTCCCGAAACCTCCGGGGAGCTTCGGGGAGCCTTCGGGGAGCTTCAGGAACCAGTGCGGGGAAACGGTTCGGGATTGTTTGAACATGTTTTACGGCACGCAGGATGGCTCTTGTTTGTGAAACCTTGCGAAACGGTTGTCGAATCCCAATCTTTTGACGACGTTCGTGCGGTTACGTTCTCGCTGCGCCATACATCCTAAACCCCGATATCTTAAACCTTAAATCCCAAGCGCGAAACCTTAAACCTTAAGAGCAAGTTGACAAAGAAAACTTGTCCTCAATTCGTAAGCGGTGCCCAAGCCGAAACCCCATCTTCGCGAATAATTTTTGAAGGTTTGAAGTTTTATGCGGCATCTTTAAACTTGAAACCTGAAGCGTAATATTGTAAAACCCCGCAAGTATAGTTCCATTCAGTCGTAAGACAGAACATCGTAAATCACAAATCCTTGCATCCTATACCCTCACAGTCAGAGCACGAAGCCTTCTTAAACCCTCAAACCTGTTGGGAGCCATTGTGGGCAGTTTGAAAGAGCAATGCCTTATTTGAGTTGTGCGCACCTGCGAGCAACATGCCCCTAGAGTCTTCGAGCACGAGCGCAAAACAAGACGTCCAATACAGCGAGACGGTGAGCTGCAAATCTGAAAAATGCAGGAGGCAAAAAAGACAAACTCTATTCAAAACGATTTTGCTTCATAGCTTTTCTAGTCAGCAGCACATCGTTGTTTTTGCGGAGTGCTTTTCCGACCGAGTTTTTTGGCACTTTTGCTAACCGACAACACCCTTCCAGTTTTGCAGTTCATACTGACAAGAAAATCTCTCTTGCACCAGGATTGTGCCACTGCCTATGACAACTTTGATAACACATATGTCTGTGTTATGGGTGGTTCTCCAACCTTGAAAGAGCAATGCCCTGTGAAAGTTGGCAAGGCCTTGTAGCTTGGGCTCATAACCCGCTGGCTTCGGAGTTAGCAGGGAGGGCCATGGCGTTAAAGCGACGTCTTCTAAGCAGAGAAATGCTTAAAAACCAGCCAATCACTTCAACAATTAGAAATCCCAGAATCAGAATCACTCAATCGGGAAACAACAAACGTACAAAGTCAGTCAAGCTCCGAAGTCCATGAACCAAAATTCGAGAGAGGAGCAAAGCGCTAGGTGGCAAAAGGCGAGGGGTAGAAGTCTCTGGCCTAAGCCTAGCCAACCCAACCCTCCCAAGAGCAGCCCCAGCGCAAACCCTGCGCACACACGGCCAAACAGGCCTCACCCTAGCAGAGGGTCCTTTTGTCATTCTTGAGCCAAGATCCACGTGCCGTCGGCTTCTGTGGACGCGACAGGCGGAGCAATGCGGAACCATCACTCTCTCTTGGGATCGACAGACCTTTCTTTATCCCTAAACGGACAGGGCCTTCAGGAGGTGATCAATAATCACCAGCAGTTTCCCAGTTTTTTCCTACATTTCCGACATTTTATTCCTATTTTCTCCTATGTTATTCCATATTCCTGCTAGGTTTCTGTAATTTTCTGATTTTTCTTTTATTCCTATTGTACTTTGTTCTTATGTTCACAACTTTTATATTGTTTGTTTCCTATTTCTTTTCTATCTCCTATAAACCCTTAAGTCCTATGTGTTTCTTGTTAATCTCCTGTTTCTGGAAGTTATGGTTTCTCTGGACTTAGCAACCCTGAGATTGACATAAGCGTAACAGTGCCATTTCTCGTGATGCCTATCCGCTCCCACCGCTAGCTTTGCCCAGTGTGTTAAACGATTCATAAGCAACTTCACGAAAACCCCAACGCCAACCAACTTCAAAGAACATCTACGCCATATCTATGCCATGCAAGTTCACGAGACAACCTTACAACAACGTCATCATCAAGTCAGCATCCTCACATCATTCCATCCAACCCACCTCTGTAGAAGAACCCTTCGCCCGCTTTCGGGAACCACGGAAGTTGACAAGACATGATCTGTGCCGATGTCGTGTCAGCAGCGGAGACCTGTGTCAAGGTCGCTTTGATTCGGACCAGTCCCCCTAAGTCGCAATGTTTTTGAACGTCCTGTGCCAAGGAGCCGGAGCCGGCAAAAAAGTTCAAGGAGGTCTGAGCAACTGCAGGATCGTATCGCACGGTTGCTTGAATTCGATCTGGGCGAAGACCGGTTTAGTCAAGCTAGGCTGCGTTATTTTGGGGCCGGTCTGAGATCATGTGCCATTTGGCTGAACCAGTCATGCCATGAGGTCGGAACCCAACAGCTTTCGACGTGACCGGCCCTCCGCTCATCCTCATTTTAGGTGCGGGACCTTGGTAACATACAACATACCGCGCTTTGTTTTTCGGATCTGCATGTGGCTTGTGGGTTTATTCGGCTTGAAATGAACCAGTCGGTGGACTTTCTCAACGTGGCAGGTGGAGGAAGGGAATGACACTGGCGCAGGGCAGGCTGCCGGCCATATGCAGCTTCGTAGTCGGTAGAGTGAGTTGCAGGTACGAGGTTCACGGCCGGCTTGGGGACGGAACCTTTGGCCGCGTGCTTGCTGCGAAGGCACCATCTGCGATTTGGGAGTACATATTAGGTTGGTAAGCTTGAGTTCCAAGCAGTCTTTTGTATAAGCCACGGTGACACGAGTGCGGAAAGAAGAGGTAGGAGGACCAGGATGAGCATGAACAGGAGGAAGACCCCTTGCAAACCGTAAGAAGTTGCATGCACTTTTTTTACTCCCGAACTGGGAAGAAACTCCCAGGCAGTAGCGGACGCTTCGTTGCTTTCTAGTTTCTCACGTTCAGCTTGGCATTTGTGCTTCAGACATACATTTTTTCCGTGAAACGAGAATGCATGTTAACTGTCAACAGCACAGCCAGACTCACGGCTATCTCCAGCAGCAAACTCTTTCCAAGCAGGATCTGTGAAGGCAAGAGCTGTTGCTGATTTGATCAAAGCGGAAGTACAAAAGATGGGAGATCACCAAAAAGAGACTTCAGGGCTTTGGGAGATACTCGCCAAGCGCAGAGAACTCTCTTCATGAGCAACTCGATGATCCAATACGATACGGGCCCATACTGCAGAAGCTTCTGCACCGCGGCGGTCACAAGCAGCGTGAGGGAGGAGCGAGTCGCCCTTATGACCTTATGTGACGATCTGACGAGGATCTTCAAACAGGAGAGTCGGTGGCTGTCAAAGTTGGCAAAGGCGTGGATGCCTCAGTACATGTCTGCCAATATCCGTGAGCGCCGATCTCCGAAGCTGTTCATACATGTCAATGCCGCGGGTGTTTTCGCGATGCAGGGAGATGAGTTCTGTGAGCAGGCGGCGGAGGAAGTGGAGGCTGGTAGCATCTGTTGTCAGCCTAGTCTGGATGAAGCATGTAGGTTAGCATGGCGGCAGAAGCAGTCGTGTGTTCCCTTGCGCAGATTCTTCAACACATCCAGCGCTTACATCCTGGCAGGCCTCAGCCTCAAGCCAGGCGTTGCGTTCATAGCAGGTGCTTTTGATGTTCTGGTCCTGCAGGGAGAGCTTTTGTGTGAAGTTCCTGGACAGCTGCTCGGCCGCGCAGGAAGCCGCGTTTTCTTTGTTCGTTAAATCTGCATTTCGTCCTTCGCGGCGAGGGCCTGGAGCCTTCAGCCTGAGGTTTCCTGGAGCCTCCGAAGCATTTTTGAGACGATCTTACTCCAGGGTCTGGATTGTGGATGCAAATCTGACTGTTTCTTGCAGACGGGAGACTTCGAAGGCCTGGTGTTTGAGCGCTTGGGCATCAGCCTCCGCGACTTCTTGAAGAGGACGACGCTTCGCCTTGGCAGTGCTTGTTGCGACAATCATTCAATCGCAAAGTCGCATAGAGTCGTCAGCTTTCTGCTCGCAGCGCCGTGCAGCACAGAACACTAATCTACTCTTACAGACATCTAGTCGTAGCAGAACTGTTTGTTCTTAGCATCAGCCATCATCGACGTGCTTGAGCCGAAGGAGCAGCGGCTGTGGGCTTTTTGTGGAGGACGCCCTTTGATGCTGAAGCATTTTCATGCAGTCTTCTTGACGATATGTCTGTTTACTGATCATATGATATTCAATCCATACCTCTGTGCGTGTTCCGTGATGTTCTGATTCCTTCCTCCCAGGGACTGGAAATGTCAAGATGCAATCAAAGGGACAGGGGCCAGGTCCCTCGGTGTTTGCCTCCGCTAGGACCTGCGACGAATCGCCCAACAGCTGCTTCACGGCTTAGCAGGCCTGCACACTGCAGGCGAGCGGAAAGCGGAGCATAGCGGAGCTTGTGGTGGGCTGTTTCCGATTGGAGCCGATTGGCGTGTTTCGGGAACAAGACCAAGCCCAAGCCCCTTCAACTCTGCGAGGTGGCACGTCTAGATCTGATCATCGCGTGCACGCAACACTCTGCAACACCTATCGAAGGGACCTACCGAACACTTCGCATCACGTCAGGTTGGCTCAGCTGACGGCGTGTTAGACCGTCTCCATTTTGCAGAGTTGTTCCTTGCAGCATTGGCCCAGCATCTGACCCTGCACAACAAGAGCCTCATACGTGTTCTCATGCAAAAGCTTCCAGCAAGCCGGGCATTCCCGTTGCACAGGCAGGCTTATCAAACTAAGAAACTCCGCATGTGGCGTGACGTGCGACGTGTCTCGGGGACGGTCGAAATGAATGAGCGCTGTAGACTCTAGACCGTAGTCTGCTGTGCGCAACTTTTTAAATGTGTGTTTCTGTTCTATCGGTTGGCATGGATCGCAGGGGCCGTTACTGCCCTTGCTGTTCTAATGGTGGTACTGGTAGCAATCGAGATCATGGCAAACGATTATTGCCTTTATGATGCTGCGAGACTTTGTTGCTTCTGTTGATCGGGTGGATCCAAGCACTGGAAGCATTGCAGCCGAACCGACAGCTGATAGACACAGAACAACAGAACAGTGACCAGTGTTTCCTCGTAAAGGTGGCCCGCTAAGTCCCTGTGAGCATTTCAAGGGTCTTTGTCGATCGTTGTTGCAGGTATCTTGCACACAGATCTGCCATGGCCCCAGCCATCGGCCACATTGGTGCAAGCACTGCGTTTAACGCAGGTAGGCCTTGGCGAACGAACATTCTCAACTATCTCAGGAAGTGTCGAAACGTGATGCTCAACGACGAGCGCCACCGTGCAGCACCGCACCCACGGGACTGAGTGCAGGTAGTTTGGAGTCCTTGCGCTAGCCCTGCGCAATGCAGTGTAGTAAGTTTGCTATCTCTGTCGTTCACAATCAGTGCCCTTCACTGCCCTTCGCGAGGATCCCGGCAAGGAGGCCTTACGACCAAAGGATTGCGGGAGCCTCGACGTGTCGCCTCGGGCTGTGTCACAAGTCCGCTCACGTGGCATGCGGAGGTAGCATCAGGATCGTCGACTTCGGCTCTGCGATTCAACAGGACGAAACTTTCCGCGGCCGTGCTTGCACGAGACAGTTTAGAAGTCGGAGGCTCGGTCTGTTTTTCCTAGCCTTCTCGGACATTCCTGCAGATCACAAATCGATTCTGAGCTGTGCGGAGAGGGTCTGCCAGGGCATCTCAAAATGAGAAGCAGCTGGAGAGCATCAAATCAAACACGGTTCAGCCTGCACGCTCCTTTCTCCGAGGCCCGGAGGTTGCGCTGGGCCTGCAATGGGATGAGAAACTGGACATCTGGAGTGCAGGCCGAAGGGGGGCTGCGGCGGTTAAGGGGGCACATCGAAAGAAGAAAGCCCTTGGGAGCCATGCTGTGACGGTCGAAGAGCCAGCAGCTCCTCCATGGATCTCTTGAGCGCCGGAACTCAGAGAGAACTCCAGGCTGCATCACTGCCATGCTCTACACTGGTGTGCGACCTTTCAGCGTGTGCGTGCCCGAGCGCTGCAATCCCTCCTCCCGATACTTGCAGGGCTGCTATTCAAGCGACATCAGAAACACCATCATTTTGACTCCTCATGCGGCTTAAGGCACGAGAACCAGGAGCACCTGGCTATGATGGAGAGGCGAGAGCTTCTTGTCTCCTGCAGGGAGATCCACACTGCTCGTGGAGGTTGCTGGATGATCGATTTCCACAGCACATGCTACGAACAGTCCGGGGCCCCTGCTATGTCCGGAAGCAAGTGTTCTTCAGATCAAAGAGTCTGTTGTGAATTCTGCTTCTTATGTTCGCTTGACGAGGCCAGGCGAAATCGGACCGAGCAAGATGAGGTGCAAGTCACAGCACCGCAGTGCATGAGCTGGGTTGCTTCTCTCAAACCGCCACGGTCGGATGTCATCCTATTGCAGCTGAGTTGAGATTTGCTCCGGTTGCGGCAGCTGGCATTGCTTTTGCAACATTGCCATTGGTGACGCTGTACTGTATTGAACGCATGACCCTGGTATGCAGCTGTTTTCCGCTTTAACAGCACATGGGACAGATGCACGGAGATGAAGATACTGGATATGTCTGAGTATTGTCCAGGATGATAGCAGCACAGAGTTTCAGCGATGCAGTCGAATTTAGCGCCGCTTTTGTCTTGTTGGGGTGGCTTGCATGGCAGGTTTATTAACTCAACTCAGCAATGCAAGCTTGGATTAATCAGATAGACGCCCTGGAGGGGCAGCTTTTCCTTGCAATGCCCATGCCGGCAACCTCCAACCAATCGACTGAGACTCCCATCTCGTCCCTGGATGCGAGCAATCGCACCGAAGAGGAGGAACCGGTCTGTGAGGTAACTCGGTCTATTGTATATGATACATTATATATATATGTTTTACTATATTATACTATATGATATAATGTGTCACAGTACATAGTACATAGTTTCATATTATATAGTAGGAAGTATCAGTATATAGCATATAGTATGTAGCACAGAGTATAAAATGCTATGTTCGACTATGTTCGAAGGCCGCGAGGTGGGGTCGCGAGGTTGCGAGGCAAAGTGGTTCAGCTTGCCATGTCTCCGAAAATCCCGAACATAGGGGTACCTTATTTTGGGGTCCTTATAAGAAGGATCCTACTATTTAGGGTATTCATTGTTAGGGTCCCCTATTTTGGGAAACTCCCATGTCGAGCTTTGCTATCGCCGAGTTCACCCCGCCAGTTCACCCGAGTCACCCCCCTTAAGGGCTCTATATCGTTCTATATTGGGGTCCCCTTTAAAGCGTAACCATACGTTTCTATAATAGGGTCTCCCTTAAACGGTGCCATAGGGTTCTGCAGTTCTGCAATAGGGTCCCCGCTGAGAGTTTGGACTGGTTTTGGGGCTTGCCACTAATCCCAGTCTTACTTAACTTACGGGTGCATCTCGTTATCCGTTTTTACATGTCGTGCCTCACATTTCCTGGGGTTTCGGCTTTTCCGGTACCCAACGCCGTTAGTATTGTCTAGTATTGAGCCTTTGGATGGCTTTGGATTTTGGCATTCCTTTCAGGATTTTCGGGTTTTGCGGACCAGCCACCGTTGAGTCTTCTAGGGTTTGGCACGCGCGCCCAAGAAAAGCCACCCGAAACCGAAAGGGTTATGACAAAAGACGCTAGGTCGCAAGATCTGCATTCTGTTGTGCAGCGCAAGGTGCGGCTTGACGATGAAGAGCTGGTCGGGTTGGCCGTTTCCGAGAAATTCCAAGAAGCAGAGGCCGCTTGGCTCTAAGTATGAATGTCGTCAGATGTCCAGAAGAGATGGATTTGCTTTGTGATGTTGCGCATGAACAAACGGAGTTCAAGATGGGGTTTCAGCATTCCGCACAAATGCATGTCGGAAGGAGTCTCTGGGAGTACACGCATAACATGTTCGGAGGATGCAGCATGTCCGTGTCGTTTTTCCGTCTACACGACAGACGCAGCTTCGCTGGCCAGAATCATGCCGTTCAGTGCCGCTTCGAATCTGTCACTCCAGGATGCAAGCAACGATCCTCTGGAAGCGGTTGACATCTTGCGCTCCGAGTTCGTGTCTAAGACGCAAAGATTGGAAGGCAGCAGAAAATGGAATGTGGTTGCTGTGCCAAACCTTGCAGGCAGTGCAGTGCTTGTTTTGTCCAGTCGGGGTAGAGCTTGCCTGGAAATTCGTAGCAAAGAAAAGCGGCCGTTGTATTCGATTCAGGCAGCTTGGTTTTCAGCTTGTGAGCAGGTAGCTTTGACAAGTGACTAATTGCAGAGACGGTTAGGTTTTGGAGCAGCGCTCACAAGACCTGCCATGAAGCACACCACGCAGAATAAGTCATAACCTAGAGAGCAGAGTCAGGGACCTTCGTCTGGGCAAGTGAAGAATCCAAGGACAAGCTCGTGGACAAGATGCACGGGCAGTTTGAATCGCTTCGACACGTTGTGCAGGTAAACCGGATGTTCGGTTCACAGGTCAGAGTTGACATGAGGCAGCATCCAACTCCAGACTGTGGCTTCTGCTCTGATACCGTTCCCGTCTCATGATACGTCTAAAGCGCTTGCGATACCAATACTGTTCAAGTATTATCCGCTTCTTTATCTCCTACTCCTGCTACTTATCTCCTCCTCCTGCTCTCCATCCTCCTATTCCTCCTGCTCCTTCCTCGTCCTATCCTACCCCTCTTACTCATACTCTTTTACTCTTACTCTCACTTTTCCTGCTCATAGTCTTGCCGTTGCTTTCGCTGTTGCTAGTAGTGGTAGTGGTGGTAGTAGGAGTATCAGTAGCAGTAGCTAGGAAGTAGGACTAGGAGCAAAACGAGGAGGCAGAAGTCGCGGATCTTTAGGCTCTGCTGGCAGCAGATGCATAAGCTCCAACAGCAGAAAGAGACTGCGTGGTAAAGGCCTAGCAGTAGTAGTAGCAGCAGCAGTAGCAGTAGCAGTAGCAGAAGCGGAAGCAGAAGCAGAAGCAGTAGCAGTAGCGGGAGCAAGAGCAGGAGCAGCAGCACCAGCTCTAGCACTACCACGAGCAGGAGCACTAGCAGCAGTGGTAGGCGAGCAGTAGTAGTAATGTTAGTCCTAGTCCTTGACCTAGTCCTAATCTTAGTCCAAGTCCCAGTTCTAGTCTTAATCTGGTTTCCATCTGTGCTCCAGAGCCTTGCCACCAATCCTCCTTTTGAGCCCCTTCCAACCCTTCACGCGGACAAGCTGAAAGTTAGTATCGTGGTTTTGCTGCAAGCTGAAGTGAAGCTTTGTTGTAGCTGGCCTCAGGCGGTGCCGCATGCCGAGCTGAAGCATCCACGCTCTCCTATGGCTGGCAGCCGAAGCCCGCCAGTGGCCGTGGCCAAGGCGGCCAACTTAGGTCAGCAAAGGTTTGGCCATTACCGAAAGTGCTTAGATAGCCGATACCAAAGTCCGAGTTTGACCCTACAAAGTACGAGGTCAAAGGGGGAGTCAAATCCTCCCTCCATACGCATAATACAGAGATTCTTGAATTTGCAACTGCAGTATTTTGCTCACATATGTCTGTCCCACAAACTGTTTTGTTTCAACAGACTTTGGAGCCATGTGCGTAGACCTTGCGAGTCTTTCAGAGGTGCTTTTTCATCGCTGGTACATGGCAAGTTTCAGCAGCAGTAACGGAGTATAGTAGGGTGTTTCTGCACTGGCGACTTTGTAAGTCGCCATGTCGCAGTTAGCATCTTGAACTGGCAGTGTAGCTGTCTTAAGCTTGCCGCGCATTTTGGCTAGTTGCACGTGCACGTTTTTTTTTTTTTATGGTCCTTTTCTGTGACGGTATTTCTATGCTGTCCCACCAAAGGTCTTGCAGATGCTGCATCTTGAAGATTACTTGTACCTTTTTGCCACTTCATTTGCTACTGTAGTTCTTGTCGTGGATGTCTCAATATGGTAGAATTATTCCCTGTGTCAGTTCTCTTGGTTTCGTTGGTGTGATAGCATGGTGGCAAGGAGGACGTCCTGAAAGGTGAGCTTACACCCTTGTTGCAGGAGCCTGAGATCTTGGTGAACCACCGCATCCAGCAAAGCAGCAAGGAGCAGGCGGCACCTCAGCACGGGGATGCGCGGGGCTTCGTAAATGCTTGTCCTTTCGGTACCCGGGAGACTACCGATGTCTCGTTGATGAGGAATGCAGTCGTGGCAAAGGTTGCCGAATTGCGGTGCACCCATGCTCGCATCATCTAGCCCTGTCGTGGTGGTATCAACTGGCGGATACATGCCAACTTCAGATCCCGAGTTGGGTTATGCAGCAGAAGAGGTGGAGACATAAAGGCAAAACCCGAACAACAAACTTGTCGTGCCAGTAGCCAATGGAGCACTACCCCAAGGCGAAGAAGCGAATGCGGTTCTGCCGTTTTCGGGTCATCTTGAGGGCCATCGTGGTCGAACGTGTTTCTCTTTTCGCGAAATTATGTTTAATGTTTAGAGTTGTCCAAGCTCAAATTCCCTCCATGCCTAAGTCGTGCTTGAACCGCTCTCAGTGCAGTTTCCATCCTTCGAAAGGGGAAATGTCGGACATGGGCATGGGATATGTTTTGGAAGGGCATCCACAAAGCTTTGTCATTTCATGCAGCGACTTCGAAACCTGCGGCACTTGACCTGTGTCTGCTTCAAGAAGCCTTGGGTTGTGGTTTTCAGCTTGGCAACCTGAAAGGAGGATTTTTAGGTACTTTAAAGTGCCGAGTGCCGAGGCTTGAGGAAACCCTGCAGGCGAGAGGATGAGCATTCATTTTGGATGTACTCTGCTCTGGCAGGAGGACAACATGCGCATCAACAGCCGAAGATACGGAGCATCCGTGGGCGGGAGGGAAGGAGCCAACGACATTCGACTCCATGGCAGGCCGTCGGGGTCGTGGGAGTGAAGCGCATCAGGCATCAGGTTACAGGTAATTTTGTCTGTGCGGGGTTATTATTAATGAGCATTCTGCCGTTGTTTTTCGCTACTGTTACTGAGTAACTGATGTATGTCAGAGCAGCAGTGACCGTAGCACATGACATCACGCGGCCCAGAAGTGCTGTGCTGAAGGTGGATGGAGCTATCCACGCAGTTCAGTTCGGCGCAGACGGCAGGCCCTCGATTTTTGATTCAGAAGCAGAGGCAAAAAGCTCGCAAACATGGACCCCTTCTCCGAAGTATTGAATCGTGCTTTCCGGTCACAGGCACTGGCAGTGCCGTCGACAGCGCAAGATCTGCGAGGCCGAGATTGTCATCTCCACGGAAGCTTTGTGTAGGTTTTCGGCAAAACTCGGAAGTGCATACTGCAACTTATATTTTCAGGGTACTCCATGCGGTCCGACTCCTTCGTCCTGGGTTCTGGTTTGAT